CCTGATCCCAAAACTCTGATTGAACATAAAGTCAGTAGTCAAGAATATACGATCTCACATAAATATTTATCTTTTTGTCTTGTGTTATTGTAAATCTTCATTGTAGTGTATCAGTTGAAAATATTGTATATTTTAGATTTCCAAACATTTATTTTTTTTGCAAATAGTGGAATATTTGACCAAGGTATTTTTGTGTTGTTAGATAAGAGAAAGTAAAGTAACAGACCACTTAAGAAGAAAAAAAAAACAAAAAGGCATAGGTATATATAGCCCAGTGCGCAGTTAAACAAGTAAAGCAAAAGGGTGCTAAAAAACAACAACCTAAAATGTAGAGTAAACCAAATATACTATCTGAAACAGAAACAACTCTACAGAGGGAATTAAACTGGCTGAGAGACAGCCAATGACAGTTTCATCTAAATTCCATGGCATGAACATAACAAGACCCAAGCTGGCCATCTTGCTTCAACAAGGTCTCTGACAAGTAGAAATTTGCAGCCGACAGGTGTTTCCAAATGTGCTGCACAGTGGTCGTCCAATGAAGCTGAGAACAGCTGATGAAAACCACATAAAGCTGACTTCCCTTCCCCCATAATTGTAAGATACCCAGCAGCACTGTCAGCTCAGAACTGGTAGAAAACAGTGGGATGCTGGTACACCCATCTACAGTCTAGAGAAGTCTGGTCAGAGGAGGTCTTTTTATGGAAAGACAAACCATTCCTCACATGTAGAAACAAAGCCAAGCAACTCGCTGTGTTGGTGCAATATTTAGGTCTAACAGAAGGCAGTTTGTTGTTGGAGAGTGCTATAGGGTTACTCCAACTGTGAAACACAGTAGACATTTCTTGCTAGTTTGTGGTTGAATTTCTGCTAATGGATGTGGAGATGTCAGAATTAGTGGTCTCTTCAATGCTGAGAAGTTCAAGCTGATTTGGGTCTAAATTAATCTGATCGGCCCTAAATTATTTCTGCAGTATGACATTGACCCCAAAGATACTGCCAGAATCCAAAAAAATATATTTTAAAGGGAAGTATAAGGAATCCTGCAACAGATGCTATAGCTGCAACAGAACCCTGATCTCAACATTATTGTTTAGGTTCAATTCAATTCTAAGTAAGTCAGCAACTAAGTCTGGGATTACATAAAGAGACGGAAGACATTGAGACTAAATCCACAGAAGAACTGTGGCAAGTTTTCCAGGATGCTTGCAGCAACTTGCATGCCAAGTACCTTGAAAATGTACGCCTGAGTGCACCTAGGAGATTTGGTGCTGTTTAAAGAGAAGCAGTGGTCACATAGAATATTCATTTGATTTAGTTTTTTTCTGGTTTTTACACTTTGTTAATTGATATAAAAACTATCAATTATTTGTAGAGGCGCCTCACTTTGCAGCATTTTTTCAAATGCCTGAAATATTTGTACAGTTTTGCAGATTTCTTTCATTGTTCTTATTCAGATGTGAATTGCAGATTAATGTCTGTTCAAGAACGCCAATAGAAGCGTACAATTCAAACGTACTTATTTGGTTTCAACTCCCAAGGTATTCAGTTGCGTTTGGTATGTTAAACCAAGACATGAAGACACACTGGAGACTTGCAATCTGACTCAACTCAAGATGCCAGATGCAGCTGTACTTATCCTACTTTAGGTTTTAAGAGGAGCTAATTTTTTATGTAATTTAGGATTAAAGTGAGGCTTGAATTTCTAGTGCGTGTGTCTTCACTGTCTCCCTGCTATCTTGCTGTCTCATATGCAGGTTTGCTGGCTGAGTGGATGAACACATAAAACTGTTGCTGAATAGTCCTCATCTTACTGTTGGCCTTATTCAGACTTAAGAGATCCAGGAGGGGCAGGTCACTTTTGAAGGCTCAGTTGAATTGTGCAGACATTCGTGCATTTATCATATATCTTCTCGAAACGCTTAATCATCCTTTTGGGGGCAGATGAGATGCCTATCACTTTGTGTAAACTCTTAAATTTTAGGTATACACACTCACACACAAGTTGTAAACAAGTTCAAGTTGTTTACGCAAAACTGTGTCATGCTGCTCTGAGAGTCTCTGTTGCCAATTTGACCTGCAATAACCTCCTTAACATTCTAGCCAAATTTATATCAGTGCTGCATACACACCTCGAAAGAGTAAACATGTTTACAAACTTAAATTTGCTGTTGGAATTTATTTTCTCTAGAAAATGACAGTACTGGAGAGCATATGATCTTGAAACATTTCACGCTTAACTGCCACTGGAAAAAAAAAAAAAGAAGAGATGGTGCAGCTTGAGGAGGGTTGTGTCTGGAGATAGAGTTTGTAGGTAATCATGTCAATGTTATGCGTGGCCGTGCTGTGACACTACATTTAAAATAGGCTTAAGAGACGGACATCTGATGCCCACTCTGCTGCCCTGCTTACCCACTTGCCTTGATGTTGAGTCCAGTTGACAGAAGCCTAAGAAGAGTGTTTCACACATGCTGAGTGAAGCCAAACCAAAGCAAGCCGAGTTCCACTGAGCTGCCCTGGTTAGGGTTAGACATCAAAAAATTATCTGGGCCATTGCTGTGCAGATCAGTGCAGAAATAGTTTGGTTCATGGTGTGAAAAGGGTATGTGAAAGCACTTCAGTGACCTAAATAATATGCTGCTTTGCCCTGAATCATTTCTGCCACCAGCAGAAACCTTTAAGGTGATGTCCAGACGCAGCACCTAGAGATGAATTCCCCTCAAATTACTATCAACATTTTTACTCTCACTGAATAGTCACTCCATCCATTAACATAAAAGGGCTTCAAAGGCTGCTCTGAAGGGTTCCCATGGGAGTCCTCACAGAGATTCAAAGCAGCAAAAAGGGTTTGCAGACAGACATTCACCATGGGTGCCACTTTATCACACAAAAATCAGGGAGGAATCTACAGTAATATCGTGTCCACCAATGCCGGATAAACATAACTTGTCCTAGCTTATTGTGCAAGAGCTGTAACCTGAAATTGCTTGCACCAACATGAGCTTTCCAAATGATCTAGTTTCCAGACTCTCCCTCTCCTGCACAAAGCTGCCGAGGCTTTAATTACTTCTGCTGGGCCAGCACAGGTGAAGCACATTCTCACTAACAAGGTGGTTTCCAACCAGGGAGCACTGAAACCCAACAGGAAAACAACATGATGGAGAAGAAAACTGGCGCCTGCAATAGAGGGTAACTGATGCTTATAATAATCCTCCACCCAACTGATTTCACCAGCCATTGTCAGATCGTTACAGAAGAAACATGGTGCAAGTGGAGAGGAATCGACAGAGGAATGTGTCATCAACTGAAAATAAAGTGTGAACTAGTTTTCACACATGGAGCACATCCATTTGCCACTGTGCACATATATGCAAGCTAGGGCAGCGCTGCAATCTATCACATCTTAGACATATCATCAGAGTCAGGCAAAGACACAGATTCTTTATAGGGCTTTTGATTGCCTTATGTAAGATGTCACCTTTATGGCCTAAAAACACCTGGTGTTTACAGGTCAAGGAACGCAGCAGTATTGACATATGTCCTAGATTACATCTGCAATTAAATCACTCAAGATCTTTACATCATCAGATCCTGCAGTTAATGTATGCTGCCATCATCTTCTCTGCCCTTGTTTAGTAAGTCGGTCAGCAGCACAAACACAGGAGTGGGGTAACAGCACAGACTAGTGGTGACTCTTTGTTATGGCACCTTTTGCCATTTGCTAAGGACAGATTCAGTTTAACTACCTTTATTTTTGTAAACTGTGAAAAAAAAATCATTTTCTTGTTAAATTTGCTGTGTACCATCATGATTACAACCAGTCACAACACCCAGCAAAGTGTGTTATATTGTTCATAGGGCTTACAACAGGAATAAGAATGTCATAAAGCTCAGATTTCTTTTTAGATATGTAATTTAAAAAGATTAAAAAGTGCAAAATGTTTTTTTTCTAAAATGTTACAACACTTACAACACAAAAGCAGAGTGTTACTGCTCTAAAGTTCAACAGAGGACAGATGTCATAACAAATATAACTGTGAATCTGCCCGTGATCCTTTGAGATCCTGTTTTTGTTTCAACGATGAAGTTATTTCTTTTTTGCTGCGACTTGGTGCACTCTGCTGTTCTCCAGAGATGACTTCACAGTAATGGCACTGGGTCATTGGGTCATTGCAGTCAGAAAACATGGAAGAACATGAAAGACTAACATCTGGATGTATATGTGTGTGTGGTGCAGCTATTACTCATGTCGTGGGGACCTCAGTCTGTTTACACAGTCACAGTAAGGGGACATATCGTCTTTATGGGGACATAAGCAAGTCCCCAAAACATAATTCATTAGATTTTAAAGTGAAAACATGTATTGAGGTAAGGCTAGGATTAAGCAAGTAGCCCTTGTGGTTAAAGTTAGCGTATGTCTCCAAGAAATTAATATAGGTCAAGATAGTGTCCTTTGAAGTGTTGGATACACAACTGTGCCTGTGTGTGCGCGTATGTACGGTCTCTCTTTGTTTACATTTCACACGCCTCTGTGCTAGTATTCACACGTGTGTCCTAATGCAACCCCTTTGATCCATCAAAGTGTGTACTTATCATACTGCTGTATGCTTCTCCCACTTGGGCTTTCCAGCCCTTTTTCCCCTCATAGCCTGTGCGGCTTGTAAGTAGCTGGCATGGAAGCCTTAAAAGCCTTAAAAGCTCCCAGTGTAGGAGTTGAGCCAGGGCTGTCCATTTGACCCAAACTGTTTTTGGAACAACTCCGCCACAGTATTTGAACTCGGGGTTCACACTGGAATCTTCGATGTGAATGCCATGACATAAACACACACCAATGAAAAGACGCAGACATGGGGAACTTAGCTGAAAGCCAGAGTTGGCTTTAAAGGCATTGAGCTCAGAAAGGCTAAGACTCTGTTCCTAATCCCTTTCCTACTTTTCCCCTTCCCTTCCTTTCCCCACCCCCTTTTCTTTCTGTCTGTATCTTCTCTTCTCTTTTTCAGGAGAATTCTGGGGAGATTTCTTACTCTTTCATTCCTCAAGGATGAAGCAGCACAGTGGACCTGTGTACTGAATCAGGTAAGCATTGATTATCATGGTGACCTTCAAACAGACACATGCACAGACATATGCCTCCTTTCGTTGCTGTCAAGAGTAGATTTGTACCTGACCAGATTTGTGTATGATTTCTGTTGCTAAAAGCCTGTTCTATGACACAGTAAGGGAGTGTGAAAAGAAGGAAAAAGGGATTGGATCTCTCTTCTGTGAAAGAGAGTGAAGAAAACGCGATGGGAGACTCATCCTTGGGGATCGAAAGAGCGAGTGAAGACACTGTCGACAGGATGAAAGTTTAACCAAACATCAGTTCCCCACAGGAGTGGCAAATCTGCTGCCGTCGCAGTGGACAGACTGATGGAAAGACATGCAAAGAGACAGACTGGCAGACAGGACAAGACAGACCGGCGATCCCCAGCTGTTTTTAAAATGCTGCCTCTGATACATTATTGAATATGCAGCTCTTCAACGCATCGCTGAGCTTTCCTCTCATGTTAGTGCTCAAGTTTGCATAGCGTCACCATTCTAAATATAAAGCATTCGCTCACCCCTTTTCAGTTTGTTAAAAGATGCAGAGGCTGCACGTAGGCTGTGTGTGTTACTCTGAGTGCCACTTTCCTTTTCTGAGGCTGGCTGGAGTTTGAGTTGAGTTTGTGTGTGACTCATTTTGGTAGCAAGCCTCTGCAAACTTCAAAAAACAAAAATAGATTTCATCAAACACTTTGAAAGTATTGTGAGATGATGCACAGAGTATGCTGAGGCAGGCGGAGAGCTTCACTGGGAGTCGTATGTACTGTACACTGAAAGAAGAGAGATGCTATCGAGGGGATTGATTTTGAATCAGACAGCATATGGAACACTGTAGGTCTAAGGCAATCTAGTGCAGCAGTAACTTAGTTTGCACAACTCACCTACCCCTCCTTTTTCCTTGTTCCCATTTTCCCAGCTTAATAAGTTGGATATGGTTGGATTTTCTGAGGTCAGAGTCCTGAGACTTTGTGTATGTGGAGTACCAGGTCTAATCTACAGGTGGCAGCAGAGCAACATACCTAGCAGGAATGTTTTTGTAGCAGACTAGATTGGCCCATTCTCACCAGTCACTGCCTTTGTAGGCCTTTCTACATCCATCTCTCTGTCTCATCATACAATGTTTTCAAGCAAATCAGTCTGGCAGGTCAAGAAACACAGTGAAAAAAAAGATCAATCATATTTTTTTGGAGTGTGCAGACAGTTCAAACTCACGTTAAAAAAAAAAAATCTTCTTCTGTTTCAGCTCCCACTTTTAAACTTCATGTTCCACGATGAACCATGAGCAAAGGTAAGAAAGTTATTTATAGTGATTCTGTGTGTTTGCGAACATAAGCCTGTGAGCAGCTTGGGGTGCATTAATGCGTGCAGTTGTATGCATCTTTGAGGTTGTGTGTCTGGTTTTTTGACAGATGTTGCAGTGACATGATTAGTCCTCTGGCTGCTAGTAGCTCTGTGTGAGGTTGCTATAGTGACTGTGGGTTAAGTGTCGGGGAGGCCAGAGTGGAATATGAGGGTTCCGAGGATGAGGAGAGGGGGTGGAATAGGAAATGAAGTGCTTAGTGCCTCCAGCCTGTGTGTGTGTGTGTGTGTGTGTGTGCCTGCATGAGTTTGTGTTTCTGTTTCTGGTTTTGTGTTCATGTTTGTGTTTGAGAGTGGGTGTGTTTGTGTGGTGTTTATGTCTGTTTGTTTGCGTATCTGTACAAAGAGCGCAGCACTGAAGAGACGCTCGTCTGTGTAATTGGGAATTTGATCAAGATAACTCACGCAAACACACAGTCAATCACGTATATACACACAAACACACTCACACACGTTGTGTCTGCGTAGGAGCCACAGAGACAGGGATCCTGTGATGGCTGAAGCGTGGGCTGAGGGTAACCTGCTCTGCCTCACAGACCAACACTATGAGTGGGTCGCACTTTGTATCACTTATCACTTAAATTGCCGCGTCAATGGAGCTGTTGTGCAAACTGGTACAAGCAAAAGAAATGCCCTCCGAGCACAGAGACTGTAAAACACTGTGGACTGCAGCACCATGCAGCCTCAACAACAAGTCTCAAGCTGAGGTTGTTGATTTCAGACCTGTGTTTGAAGAAAGTGCTCATCAGCCTGAGGGTCAAGACCCCCACAAGGACTTGCAAGATAAGTCTGAAGGGCTGGAATAAAAATAAAAATCATTAAAAAAAAAAAACATTTGGTTGTTATTTAATTTCTCTACTTCTTGTTTTAGTTTCTGAATGACCAGACAGTTTTATATCCTCAGGACTCTATTATTACTACTATTTAAATTATTAAACCAGAGAAGGATAATGCTCATTGGGTGAAGTGCATGCAGTTTAGAAATGACTTGCAGTGTTGTTTTAAGGGGTCACAAGCCATACAGCATATAGAAAAGGCGGGAATTCTTGTAGCTTTCTTGTGCTGTGGTCTGCAGAGGTGCATCGGTTCAGCTTTTCTTACCTGAAACCCTGTCAAATACCTCATCTCTGTGTATCTGATGATTCAGATTCATTGCCTGTCCTTTCTTAACCCTTGCGCAGTGTTTAAATTTTGGTTACTCACTCAGTGTTCATCAGTCTGGTAGACAAACCACAGACAGCATTCATGGTTAAGGTTTGCCAGTTGTCTCAGCTAGATTGCATTTTTTATGATACATGTAATATTTGTTGCATTTATTAGTACTATCAAGACATGGTGAAATAAAGCATCATCATCACTATTGGTATTTATATTGTACTTTCATGCATATATACACTACCGGTCAAAAGTTTTAGAACACCACACTTTTTTGAAAACCATTCAGTTTATTGTGTCATTGCATTCTGAAATGAAAGCATAGAACAAACAAGCTATTTTAGTTGAAAAATAAATCATGGAATCAATTTATAGACCAAAATGTATTCTAAACTTTTGAATCATCAAAGTAGCCACCTTTGGCAGATATAGCAGCTGAACACACTCGTGGCATTCTTTCTACAACAGAAATCAAATATTCTTCAGAAAGTTCTTCCCAAGTCTGTTGTAGAAGTTTCCAGAAATGTGTGGCACTTGTAGAATGCTTGGTTTTCACTCTTCTGTCTAGTTCATCCCAAACCAGCTCAATGGACTTTAAGTCTGGAGACTGTGCTGACCACTCCATATTTTCAAGCTGACCATCTTGTTCTTTTTCCTGAGGTAGTTTTAGCATAGATTGGACTTGTGTTTTGGGTCATTATCTTGCTGTAGGATGAACCTCTGACCAACTAGGCGCATACCAGCGGGTATTGCATGGTGCTGCAGAATGCTGTGGTAGCCGTTTTGGTTCAGGGTACCTCTCACTCTGTACAAGTCACGGACCCTGGATCCAGCAAAACAGCCCCAGACCATCACTCTCCCTCCTCCATGTTTGACAGTTGATGTCACACACTGTGGAACCATCCTCTCGCCTACTTGACGACGTGCAAAGATCCTGTGTGATGAAGCGAAGATTTGAAATTTTGAGTCCTCAGTCCATAATACCTTCTTCCAGTCTTCAGTAGTCCAATGGCGGTGTTTCATGGCCCAGGAGAGCCTCTTTGTCTTATTCTGACGTTTAGCAATGGCTTTCTTGCTGCAACTCGTCCTGTCAAACCTGCAGCTCGAAGTCTTCTCTTCACAGTTGAAACTGAGATTTGCTTACTACAACTATTAAGCTGTGCTTGAAGCTGTTGTCCTGTGAGCCATGTATCACGCAAGCTGATAACTCTCAGAAACTTGTTCTCTGATTCAGTTGCGGCTTTGGGTCTGCCAGATCACTTCCTGTCAGAGTTTCCCCCAGTTTCTGAGTGCCTTTTGATGGTGAAGAAAACTGTACTCACTGACACCTTGACTTCTTTGCAATTTCCCTGTAGGAAAGATCTCCATCTTTAAGTGTTATGATGGTCTGTCTCTCTTCCATTGTTAATTGCCTTTTTCTCGCCATTTTTGTAGCAACACACTACTTTCTGCAGTACAATACTGTTCAGCTGATGCTCATGAGGGTCTGGTACTATAGTGTGTTCCAACACTGCTTTTATGCAGACAGAGGGGGTTATATGTAATCAAGAAAAGTTGAAACACCTGTAGGAATTAGTAGCACCAGCTTTTAAGGCTGTTTCAACCTTCACTGCTGCAGAACAGCTTTAAATTGTTAACCCACTTCGTGTTTCCTGGAAAAGGCCTTTTTGTATACTTCTGAAATGTACATTATTTTTCGGTTTTGTGTAACCAAACCTTTTTTTTTTTAAACCTCTGGCTGTTCAGTACTTACCTTTGTACCATTTCAAGTTATTCATTGGACTTGCACAACTTGAATTGCAATAAATAACTGGAAAAATTAGGGTGTTCTAAAACTTTTGACTGGTAGTGTATATATATAATATTTTGTATTTTTTTTTCCAAATGGCAATCCGTTTCATAAAAGTATGCTTTTCTATACACCACATGAGGGATAGCGTTTTACAGTGTATGCATTGTTGACATGCTAATATATGTGCTGCACTTGACACATTTCTACAGTGTCTTTCTACCTTCTTGACTTCACTCAACACTTATAACACTTCCTCTTGCTGATGCTGCTCCTTTTAACCTAGAAGGATGAAAACAGTTTAGGAATTTTAATAACAACTCACTCATTCACACATAAGCTCTCACATGGGGCACCAGCATCCCCTCAGTGGGAGACTGGGGTCCATGAAATATGTTCTTTCCTCTGGGTTTTAAGCTGTCACCAAAGCCTTGCCATGTTTCCTCAAGAATGATCCATCTCTTGTGCCGCTTCCCTCTCATCTAGTCTGGATTCAGTCATTTTTAGGATGCTAGGGACCCAAGTTTGGATGCTTATTTCCAGTTTTGAAAATAAATAAGGGTTAAGTAAGTAATGAATGATAAGATTTAAATGGAGTGTATATGTGTTCAGAAGTGTGCATTTTTTGGTGGAGTTGATATGGATTT